TGTCTGTGTCCACTGCCACCGTGTGTGAAACTGTATCTGCCACTCATTTCCCCAGTGGGTGTTTCCAACAGTAACGCTCCCCGTTTCCGCCTGTAGTCCCCCCTTTTTTTTACACATATTTGCATATGTATGATAGTGTGCATGTGGTTGTCATTTTTATTTCACCACCATAAAACCCTTGAGCACAACAGCAACAAAGCAGAAGGACCAAAAGTTATTTACGATAATAGGGGGACAATGACCCAAAGGCATGCTCCAGACCTGCATAGCTCACTGCGGGAACTAGGTCGCAGATAAGCGCAGTGCTGGCGACCCCTGTCACTTAGGCAAAGCAAGTGAACTAGTTAGTGAAGTCGATGTAGAAGAAAAGTTCTTTCTGACTTATCCGGATTATCAGGGTGCTTTGGGTTTTGATTTTGTTCTTGTTTTCCTTCCTTCCTTTCTTTCTTATATACACACAGTCATATATACACACACGTTTATTTGAAACAAGCAACCGAAAAGGAACAAAAACATAGAGAATGTTTCCACTCTCTGGGTGAAGGATCGCGAGGCTTTTGAAAAGCGTTCCCCATTTGTGTACAAGATGGTTAAGTCTCTGCTTGTTGCAAGAGCACATCTGAGGTTTTTTAGCTCCTAACCCAGGGCTTCAGTCCCAGAGCTGGCTTCCTTGGGGAGTTCAGATGAAAATTTCTACCCTCACCGTGGAGGAAAGAATCGTATTCCATTTGTGGATCTATCAAATTCTAGTCATTTAATTTAAGTGCAAAGAGGTTTGATTGCATATTAAATTGTTATTCTGTCTCCTTACGCTGCCATATGAATAGCTATTTTTTTTTCTTTCACTTTTGACATTTGGGATGAAAAGCCATATGTATCATAAATATCAGATGTAAGTCATTAAAAACTGCCTTCCTGGGACTTTTACATCTTTTAAAAGGTGAATTACTTACCTTATGTACAGAATAAATAATGCTCCGGAAAGAGCAAGTATTTTTCCACACATTCTCAGGGGACCTTTTTACTCCCCTCTGTTTGATTAGCTAGGGCCCCCATGCCTGGTAGGAGCGAGGGCTGGGGCCATGGTGCCGAGAGAGGAAGATAAAGCCAGCAGCAGATCATTGTTTCTTAGGAGCCAACATGCTAAATAAATCGGAATGTAGGAGGATCAAGCCACAGTTGACTCAACAGAGACAAAAGCCAGCTACCACCTTAAACTGTTGGTACAGCTGCTTGACGCTGGCTGTCCCACAGCCGAAAGCTGGTGGGAAAAATTCCTCCTCATCAATTTCTTAATCGTAGCCAATTCACGTAGGCCGGCGAAGGGCAGTCATAGACAACTGCTCCTTGTCATTTTGAGCTGGGGAGGAGGAGGAGAGTACAACAGTGAGCCAAACACATTTTGGTATAATTATTTTTTTTCTTTTGTTTTCTTTCTTTCTTTTTGTCAGTTAGTAAGCATGAGAGGAAAGGTAGAAAAATACCCTCTTTTCAGTATACAGTTGTCAGATGTTTTATGCATGCAAATCACGCTTTAGGCAGTGCAGTAGTTGTTAAAAACCGGCCCACTCCACCTTAACTGAAGTCTTATACAGATGGGCTAGCCCTGGGCTGGTAGATACATATTTAAAATGTTTACTTTAAAAAAAATCCCATCCAACAGAATAGGGGTGGAGGGGAGGAAGAAATGTCATAGCTGTACCATCTCTGCAAAGGTGTTTTTATGGTGAATGGTTTGGGTTTAGATTTTGGATGCCCTGTTCCCCCAAGCATGGCAGTTTTGGAGATTTGCTTGCTGTGTGAATTGACAAGCACTTTTACTGACAAAATGGTGAGGCTCAGTCAGAACCTCTGTCCCCACACCAAAGGCAGGGCCGTGCAGTATCCAAACCAGTGAAGGGGTGGGGCACAATAATTGCATACATGTATATTAAAAGGCCCTATGAGTGGAAGGTTTTTTTTCCAAATTATTTTTGTCCCTAGATATTGATTTATATATTATGTATAACTACCTATCTTTTTATATATAACTATATAAATATTTCTCTCTCTATACACATATATACACATATGTATATATATATGTATATATACACACACACACACACACATATGATCTAGTTTGGGATCATGAAGATCTCTTCGTGCCTTCTTTGCAAAGGAGGTTATAAAGTTATGCCCTCAGAACATTTATAACTATAAGAATGTGCCAGTTAAAGTGCTCAACAGGAAATATGACAGTTTAAAAGCATTGTAAAACTCACATAGCTTACTTCTCTCTCTAAAGTGCAACAAGGATGAATAGAATGGGCCAAGGTATGACAATTAATGGTTCTGCATGACCTAGCCACTGCTGGGGTTTTTCTTCTATACCGTTGTCCTTGTGAAAACTTTTGTGAAATTAAAAAAAAAGGAGTTATAAATTTTATTCTGTTATTGGTTTGTTTATTTTTATTTATATTGTTCTGTTTGTGGTTTTATTTCTTTTGTTTTGCTTCCCCCCCCCTCCCATTTCCCCTCCTTCCCCCTCCCTCCTCCTCTTTTTCCCTCCACTTTCTAAATTGCTCAGCGCAATGAGGCTGTGCTGCTGCTACTGCTAGACCCTTTAGAGTTTGTTTTGGTGTTCTTGGGTTTGGGGTTGGGTAATTTGGGGGGAACTTCTCTCCATCTGGCTTGCCTTTAAATCTGCACGTGGCCTCCCTGCCCACCTTGGTACCTTGCTCCAAGTTCAAAAGCATTTTCCCATCAAGAAACCCAGCTTCCTCCACTCCCCCCCCCCATTACCACCAACCCAGCCCCCCATCAGTCTGTCCACATCTCTGTGTTTATCTTGGCAAGACCTACTAAATCGAGTGATGATGCCAAGTGATAAACTTTTCTGGAAAATATCTGCAGTGCTCCATTTGGCAAACCTGCTTCTCGGGTAATATTTCATCCTCCTTCCGATTGAAACCAGGAGGGTTATTGATGGCAAAAGCATTGGTCTCATTTATGTTTGATCAGTGTGACCCCAAAATTAAAACTGTTCACCTGTATGTAGCAACTCAGTAGCTCACCCCCAGTTATCTGGGGGCTAACGATTCAGTCTCTATATTACCTAGGTCTCTCCTGCCACCTGCCTTTCAGACATTTGTTAATTTCCAACCAGAGATTGGGCAGATAGAGAGAAGTAGATCTAAAATGCCTTTTATATGCAATCTGTTAGCAGCTCTGATGAGGTGATATTGTAACGGGAATGGAGTGGAACCAGGCTGTGACGTGAGATGACATTGGGGGTTTCCCTGGACTTGGGCACACAATTGAGAGTTGACTATACTTGGGTAATGAATATATTCAGTGATGAAAAAGGTGTTATTATTATTCCTTCTATTTTATTAGCCAAAACGACCATACTATACTTTCCTCCATAGGACAAAGAGTCTCTCCCATTGTTTTCTGTGTGACCCCAAACTTCCATTCCTCCTTCAGATTCTCTTAGGGAGGAGGCATACAAGTTTGATGTCTCTCCCCCGCCCCCCCAAAAAAAGAATCCAGTAGGTAAGGGTAAGAAGTGAAACAGTTATTTGAAGAGAACATATGTGCATTTAAACAGAGCAATAGGTAGAAGCTCAATTATCTGCTCCATTCTAGAAGGGAAGCAATTTGTAAGCCATTCAGGCCCATTTGCTCTAGGTTTCTAAAGGGGTAAACCTTAAAAGTAAGTGGGTAGACCAGGAGGCTTCCACCGCCTCAAAACTCGGATGATAATGAAATCATCAGCATCCCTAATGGTTGCTACTTGGGGTCCTTCCTGAAGCCAGTTCAAATGGCTAAACAGAAAGCTGGACCCTGTGTGTATATTTAGATTTATACCGCAGCCCAGAAAAGTCTCAAAGTCTATTATAAATCCTAAAGATTGTGCCCCAGAACTTAACGCACAATAGGTGCTCATTACATACTTTGAAATACACTGACCTTAGACATTTTTCTCTCTTTCATTATTTTATAAACCATCTCTACCCCATTTGCTTATCTTTAAAAACACAGCAGATGCCCGTAGGTGCCCCCAGGATGCTGCTGTGCTGTTGGCACTTTCTCGGGCTGGGTACCCAGTGCCTGAGACAGGGGGACAGTCCTGCGAGCTCAGTGAGTGGAGGTGGACTGTGTCTTCTGCCAGCGTAGCCAAGCTCCCAGGTGCCCAGGAAAACCTTTTGCCTGGCTCTTCTTCAGCATGGGAAAAGCCTAAAGGTGTCTGCATCCCAATAGAGACAATTAAATCAACCTGCCCGGTTCCTATAGCAACAGGCTCCTGGAGGAGAAAGAGAAGAGCACAGAAACTCAGGGCCTGTGGAAGTCCAGACTGTAAAATCAATGTCTCAGCCAGCTCCTTGCCGCCCATCCTGCTTTGTCAAAACATGATAAAGAAGTAGCTGTGGGCACCTGTCACTAACCTGGTTGCCTGTCTCCCACCAGGAGGCTGCACATTCATTCCTTGGGGAAGTGGGAGGGATTATCTCAGCCACCTGCCACCTGAAAGGGAAGAGTGTGATTTCTGCCCTCAGGTGTTGAGGGCCAGGAGGGGGCAGTTTGCTCTGCCCAGCCCATGGCAGCATTAGATTTTCAGGAAGAGGAGGCAAATGCAGTCATAGTGGACAATTGCAGAGAAGTGAGATCATTTTCATCCACAAATTGCTCTGGTGCTGGGACAAAATGACTTTCATTTCTATAAAGCAGCCACACTCTGCCCATGGAGAGGAAAGGAGACTGTGGGGGGGGGAGTCCTCGGGGAGCCTGGGGGTCTGGGGGACAGAGGGTGAATGCCAGACCGCCCCTCAGAAACGGGCGATGTGAAACCACACAGCATCACCTTCGAAGGCTGCACTCCTTGTTAGCTCTCACTGTCCTCCACTGCTATGTCTATCCAAATGGAATCTTTTTTCTTTCAATCCCTTTCTCTCTAAGCCTCAGCTTGTGACACTGCGAGAAGAGGGGCAATTATTCCAAAAGCCTTCCCTGTATCATCGTCTCCCCTGTAATGCATTCTCCTCTGGGGAGTAGTTATGTGAAAAGGCTAAATCCCACAGCGCTGACAACCCACGGAGCCAGCAAAGAGACTCAATTTTCACAGTGCAGCCTGTCTCTCTGCTTCTGGGTCCCCCGCAGTAATGTCAGCCCAGATCGGGGGGCCTTCCCCACCGTGGCCTAATATTCTGGTGGCTGGAGGAAATGCTGACCTTATTCTGGACCCTTCCATGTCAGTGATGAAAGTAGCAGGGGAAGATGGAGATGATTTGCAGGTGCGGTGGGGTGCCTGTGGAGTGAAAGCCAATATTTCAAAGAGGCAGGTACCAGAGGAGGGTAGGAGCCCTGACCTCCCCAGACAGGTCACCCCTGCACCTCACTTTCCACATGAAGACTACCCAACCAAACCCTCCTCTGTTGTCTCTATTTCCGCAATCCTGATTCTTCAGGTCATACCGACCCGCACTCCTCCAATTTATATACCTCAGTTCTCTACTCCCAGCTCATTTGCAGTCATACTGAAGGATACTTCCCATCTTTATGTAGCAGAGATGTAGATGCTGTTGGTATCCTTGTGTGAAAGATGCAGACTCTGAGGGATAGATGTAGTCATTGTCACCTAACTAGGAAGCGGCAGAGTGGAATGTAAAACTTAAGTCTATAAAGTGTGCTACTATGGTAAAATGCCTTGCTAATGTTACTAATAATTGCTAATAGTCTTAACAGCTCACATTGACTTACCCTGTATCTGGACTTGTAGTGAGTGATTCATGGACCCCAGCCCCTTTTATCCAAGCCACAATAGGACAATCCTATAGTCGGCCCCGTTTCACAGAAGAGAAACTAAAGCTAAGATACATTTTCTAATAACTTGCTCAGAGCCATGCAGCTAGGATGTGAGAGAGCCAGGTCCATCTGAGCTTAACCTACCGCCCCATGCCATCCCCTTGGCCTACACCGCAGTGCTGTCCATGCCGATGCATCATGGCATGGCTGGTCTGCAGAGGGGGCATCTGCCAATGGCAGTGCAACTCTTTTACCAGCATCTCTCTGCCATTGCTTCCAGGTTTCATCTTGTTCTACTAGGCCATTTGCCACAGACTGTGCAATGCCACTCCCGTCCTAAGTCCAGCAGGTCACCTGTGTACTCCCAGTGAGGACGCCAGCACTCATCCTCAGAAAGCTGATTAACAAGTGGGGCAGCGAGGAGGCCCTCTCAGTCAGACCTACTGCCCTTCTCATCTTAGGGCTGAAATAAAGTTCCCAGAAATCTTTCTGGCATGTGGGCCGAGGCAAGGACAGGAGATACACTCGGGGATTTGAATTTATCCTAGACCCCTACTTCAGCACGCTTTTGAATTTCTTCCCTGAACACCCTTCCTTATGGCCAATTTTGTAGCCACCCATTGCCACAGCTTCTTTTTGGGAAGGCAAGATTCACTACACCAGGGTGTCATTGTCATACTTGAGACTCTCTCCATTGAAGCAGAAAGGCTGGCGATAAAGCGTGTGTCGCCCTGAGCCCTTTGGGAGAAGCTGTTCATGCAATGGCCCGCCCCAAACAGTCCAGTACAATGCTCAGAGCATGCACATGCTCCCACTTCCTCTACACCCTAGCTCACCAAGTCTCCACCCAAATTGAAAAGCCTGTGTTTCAGGCACAAGGAGACCTCAGCTTGCCTCCCGGACGGGCGTTAACACAACTCCTTGTGTCAAAGCCGAATGGTCGAAACACAGGGGCTACTCTGCTGAGACTGTTCCTAGGGCAAGAAATTTAAAAGGAAGGAGTAAGCACATTACATGAAGGAAATAATTCTCTCTTTCTTACAGGCAGCAGAAGGAAATTGATATTCTCGCTGCCGTGAAAGGTCAAAATGCCAACTTTGAATTGAACTGTAAAGACTAAATTCTGAACAATTATTGTCGGCAGCAGCTGTAAAAATTTTAGCAAATTGCAGCTGTCTTAGGTCTTTCACCCAAAGGACCTACTCGTTTTCTCGTGCAGAGTTCACTCTTCCTACCAGCCTGGCATGAGCAACCTAGCACTAAATCCCTTTGCCAAACTAGTCCACATGGTGGCCAGGCCAACACCAAGGGAGGCCCAGGCAGGTGGCGCTTCTAACCTCATCTTTACACATAAACCGCAGGAAAAAGTCATAGTTTGAAATTGTTTCAGCGGCCTGGCAATGCTTTTAAAACATGATAACCATCACACTTTACTCCTCTCTGAAAGGTTAGTTTAATCGTAGATCACAAAAAATTGGTTTCCACAAATGCATAATGGTTCATCTATGTCACACTTGAACTAAATGGTTTTTTAAATGGAGCTGAAATTATTTTGATGTGTACACAGTCCTGGGTTTCTATACAACCTTTTTTAACCAGCCCATCAGGAACCTTGCCTCGAAAGCCTCATTAATAATTCAGATGTGCTGATGACTTTAAAAGATCTATGGAATTGAAGCTCAGGAAGAAAGAAAGAAAAAAAAAAGCTCCGCTTGACAAAAAGATAAATGAATGTAGAAAGAAGCTGTAGGAGTCTGGCAAGCTGTAGATCATCTCAGAACAGATTGTAACTTTATCATTCTGTCAGGGGGAATAATTTAAAGCACTTAATCAGTTAGCTTCGCTGTGAGGATGTAGCATTATGAATTCCTATCGTCCAATCTGTTCAAATCAAAGTGAACTTAATTATAATAGGTGAGAGAGCCAGAGCAGGAGAGAGGGGGGTCAGGGAGAAGGATCCACAAGGCAGGAAGTTTTCTGGGGGGTAAAGCGAGCTGCTGAACAAAGGACAGTGAGTAAGCTTTCACCAAAGTACCCCCCACTTCCAGCCGTCGTGTTGACATTGAGGGTTTGAGGTACTTGACAGTGCGAGACAAAGTATAGACCAAGGAGAAACAAGCCAAGTGGCCATCAGCTAACCATAGATGCTGGACACACATGCGCTCGCACGTGCGCGCGCACACACACACACACACACACACACACACCCCTCTGTCACGCCAGGTGAGCAATTTTTGTTAACATGTCAGCTTAGGACCACCGACAGGGCAGCTATGAATTGCTCTGATAGGCAGAAAAGGCGGCCGGAGAGGTTACTGTCTCATCAGCAGTGGGTGTGCTGAAGCGTCTCCCTTTTTCTTTTCTTGTCCTAAGCCACTAAAAGGAGGCATATGATTCCCAAGTTAGACTGTCCTATTTGCCCAGTCCTTTCGTACCTATACACATGGCCTCTTTTTCCAGAAAATTTCAATCCTAGAAAGAGGCAGGGTGAGGGCTAAATCTTGGAAACTAGCATTGGATTGCTAAGAGGATGCCAGGCCACTGCGTCTCAGCCAGGGCCTGAACGCGCCGACCCAGCATTCTTCCTCCGCCATCTCTGCATCCAGGGTGGCAATGAAATGCCAAGTCTTCCTTGAGCCCCCTTGTCAGCAGCTCCGGTTATTATAGTCAGTTCAGGCAGTGCCACTAGGAATTCTTTTCATAACTTTATACCAACACCAGGTTTTCTTTCTTAAGATTTCGAAATCCTCTAAAAACATTGGTGGCTATTCTACTTTTTAATCTCATTGGCCAGCAACATCTGAGGGTTTAATTTAAGACCCTCAAAACTGGCTTGCAAACAAAATAGAAGAATGGAACAGTTGACATACAACTTGAAGTATGCGTTTTACAAGCAAAGCTAAGTGCAGGCTGGGAGACCGAGACCCTGTGTGAGATTCTACATCCCTCACTCTGCGGCAGAGACAGTGCCCCTTACATTCCACTCAGATCAATGGATGCCCAAATCTCTCCTCTGGTACAATGACTATACCCAGTATTTGATATATTTAACATCTTCCCACCAAAGCTTTTCCAACCAGTAAAGGAACCCCAGAGAACATGACCAGCATTTGTTTTCCAACCCTTCTGTATTCTCTGAGGTCCCCCCTGGTGCCTCAAGTCCTCATGGCCCCTTGGTCATCAGTTGTTATGGCAACAGAGGTATGTTTCAGGTTCTGGGGTTCTCCCTACATTGCAGTTTCTCTTAGCAATGACTTCATTGTCAGCTTCTATCTATTGCCTTTTTGCATTTTTCTATGAACTTTCCAAAAGCTTTACCCTAGAACTAATTAAGCTTCTCATTTCTCCTTCTTGTTCTCTATCCATTTTGCCCTTTAGCAGAAAAGAAATGGTTTACAGATGAGCCGGATAATGCCTATCCCAGAAACATTCAAATCAAGCCCATGAGTACCCACATGGCTAACCAGATCAACCAATATAAATCCACAAGCAGCTTGATTCCACCAATCAGAGAAGTTGAAGATGAATGTTGACTCCCAGGAGACCAGAACTATTTTTTTAAAGCCTGACAAACTTCATAAATGGTGATGTGACTTTTCTTCCTCTTACACACTGAATCACTGGTGGAAACCTTAGGATAAGTGAGATTTGCAAGAAAGATAAAGTAGACAGATCTTTCTCTTTGTTTGCCTTGAATATTGCTTCCATGTATTTTGGAGAAGAAAATGATTTCATTTATAAATGAATATACTAAAATAGTCATGTATAGCCTCTAGCATTTTAAATTATTTTTATTTATTAGAAAGAAAATATATTTTTTCTTTTTTTTTTCATTGTCAAATATCTTCCCTAGATCTATACAATGCAAAATCAAAATGAATATGTGGCCAGACTCCTTAATGCATATTTCTCTTCTTTCTCTCTTTTACTTTGGGGAGAATGATGGTCACCACCACAATTAATTATAACAAAAGGAAATGGATTATTTAAAAAAAAAACTTTTAATGGTTCAATGATGTAAACATGTATTTTAGTAAATTCAAAAAAAAAAGAAGACGAAAGGGGGCAGGATGGGTGTGTATTTTGGCTGCTCTGACACCAGCTCTTAATAAATGGAGACATTTATTTTCACAGTTGAAAGTCATATTTTTGTAGTTTTAGTTTTCATTCTGTATTTCTTATCCCTTCGTTCATATACTTAAAGGGAAGACCTCGCAGCTTTTCTAGAATTGCCAGGTCAGGTTCAGACAGCCACCGACAGCACCCGGAGAGGGGTGAGCACGCTGGGACGTGGACACTGAGGGCCAGATGCACAGGAGACGTGGCTCTACCTATTGTCCTAGTGGTGAGGACCCCTCAGCTGGTATGCTTCTCACTTCATAGCTCTGAACCACCCTCGGAAGTGATTTCAACCATGAAAGGGTCTGGGGGGCTGTCCCCACACCCCATGTCTCAGAGATTTTACCCTGAAAGTTTGTAAACACTAATGAATCGTTTTGTGTAACAATAGGATGTGATACTACATTCATTCTTTTCACTGAATTTTTGTTTTAAAGCCAGATATTTTCTATAATCAAGGAGATGACTTTTGCCAGATTTTAGCTCTTCGGGCTTTCTTTCAGTCGCTGGGACAAAACCCACAAACTTGCTACAGCAATGTAAAAATTAATAACAAAAGGAAAGCAACAAATGCACTTAAAACAGACTGTTAGGGAAGGCCTTTGAAATTTACCAGCAATGAAATCAAATGTATCAGCCACTTCAAGCTGTGGTCAAAATTCGTTCTAGCCACCAGACACAGTTCCCACGTCTCAGAGCCCTGGTGTGGCTTGCATGACAAGTGTACAGTGGTCCCGGCAGCTGTTATATTTCAAACGATTGAGCAAGTCTTTTAATTACAGGATTATCCATTTTTGATACAGTCAGCAGGGTCTCTGGAGAAGCATGGATGTGACAGTAATTTTTATTTCCTTAAAAATGTAAACTGTGGACACTTGAAGAAACCAAACTTACCAAAATATCCCCCAAAGTCCCATAAGATTCCATTAATTCTTTAGGCCATGACCCTGTGGTACCTAGTACGTTAGTGCAAATCAGATCAGTGGCAAGCCATGCAATCACCATGGAAACATATGCCCACTAAGTCCTCCAATTACAACGTAGGCAAAATGAGCTTCCGCCTCTGTCCACTCCCTGCGGAGCCAACGTCCTCGTGCTTGTCGGCGCCGTCCTGAAGTGACTTGTCAGACTGTGTCGTCACATTCTGTAGCATTAGCTCTATAAAAGTATTGTGAATATAATGTATGTCCAATTGGGTTGTTTAAAAACTACTTATAACCAATCGCTAGCCTCCTCAGCAGACTACAATGACGTCAGCAGTCTCTATTCAGGCTTCTAGGCATCTCCTGGTTTCCACTGTGGGGCGGGTCTCTGGCTGGGTTTTGACAGCTTTCCTGGGAGCCGGGCCTACTTTTACATATGATTTTGCATTGAGCTCTCCTTAGCACATGCACACCAAGCCACGCTCTTCTTTCCTTCATGAACCCCGGTGGACTCTTCCCCACTCGTGTTCCTGACAGTCATTTCTGAATTTGTCCTGTTTGGTTTCCTTCCAGGGGGTGATGGTGGCCACCTCAATGACCCTAGAGGAACTTAGGCCACTGAGTCCCTGCCCGCTGCCCTCTCCTCCTCCTCTGGCCACACCAGTCAGTCTGAAAGCAGTAAACTCTCTGCCCATCATTGCTGGAGACTGGAATCTGAATTTTGTTTTTCTTTTTTAGCAAAAAGCTAAGATGGTTTTCTACAGCAAAGAGTACCCCCCACCCCCCACTCCCCCAAACACTAATTATTGGGAATCCATTTTCTTCTAAGGTGGAGCAGGAAGCTCATGCTGTTTGCCTTTGTAATAATGAATTGGCCGGAAAATAAAAGCAGGCGTGTGTTTAAGAAGGTGTGCAGAATGATTGGTTGGTCGCTCCTTAGACAAAACCTGCTTCCTGGTAGGCTGGCAGTGAAATGGAAACAGAAGCAAGACTGTAAGGTCACTGAAGGACTCCCAGAAGGCCAGAGCTTCCGGGTTTGTTTCTGTTTGTTCAACTCTCTGGCCCTGAGAGCGTGCTCATTCCACCCACCAGGACAAACTCATCTTTCTGGATAAATTCAGTATAGAGCGATGATGGTCATCATTGGTACAGTCAGTGTCATAAGGCTCTGTCCGGTCTGCCTTCTCAGGTTGAGGTTCAGAAACGCTGTTTTTACCAAACTACAGATTATTAGATGCTTTGGGAATCAAAGACTCACCAACAGGCTATTAAAAAACAGAAAGTACTTATTAAGGCATTGTCACCTTCATCATCTTTCTTTCTAAGAATGCTTTCACTTCGGCCTGAGAAACTTTATATTTTAAAACATCACCTTGAACCAATATAAAACATCTTAAATAAAAGTGATTGTGACTAAGGCGTGTTGGGGGAACACTCAGACCTCTTTCCTTCGAAAGGTTAGGACATCTAATGATGTACTTTGTACAAATGTAATTGAAGGCTTGAAATGAACTGGGAATTCAAGCTGTTTGTTTAGGAGTGGAAATGGGGGAAGTGAAAAAGCATAAGAAAATTGGGCACATTTTCATGTGAAAAGGTGAGAGTCCAACTTTCCTACTAATGGTTTAATTGGGGATTCTAGAGCTACACCTGCAAATACCTAGCTATGTGCTATGAAAATGTCCTTTTACTCCCTGAGTCTCAGTGACCTCTCCGTAAATGAGAGTGATTTGTCTCAATGACTCTAATGTCCCTTTCAGAGCTGAGGGAACAGGGTCTGAGTCAGGAGTGGGAGCGTGGGACTCAGCCTTTGGGGACAACTTGCCCTGGGCTGTCACGACGGTCCTCCTTGCTGTCTCTCCCAGGCGGCACTCCTGAGGGCAGTGTGCACTTCCTGCTCTGGGCACATAGCAGTTAGGTTCATTCTTTAACTTTGGAGTCTCTTTAGGCTCAAAATACAAATTTCAAAATTCAAATCCTCCTGGAACACATTGGTTAAATGTTTCTGTGTGTTCCTAGAGTTTTCTTTGCAATCTCCTTCCTGCCTGTTTTATTTCTTGCCTCAAGGTTCAGTTTTGGTCAATCCCACCACCTCTAACTCGTTATCTCCAATTTCCAATATGTAGTTAGAGGCTCATGAATATTGGATTTCTGACGTTTTCTTCATTTTTTTATTTCTACATGGGTATCTGGGTTTTAGGAAGTAATCAGTCTTACTTCTCACTTGATTCCATATTCTCTGTTTATTTGATTTTTTCTTCCATTAGTACACTAGCAATCTCTTTACTACTTGCATTAATAAGTCTAATTTCGATATATCATGCTTCATTGTGAAAGAGAAACCCGGGGGGGGGGGGGGTGGCGGGGAAGCAAGAAAGGAAGGTATTAAAGGAGGAAGAGATTAGAAAGAGAGAGAAAACAAAAAGAATACCAAACCAATTGACTGAGATGTTAACCACCTTACTCATAAGAGTTGAAATCCATTCAACTTGGACATGGAGTTCCAGTGCAGAATCTGCTCCCTTTCTCTCTGTCTGTGTTATATTCTGCTCTTAGTTGCTGCTTTTGCAGCGGTGGTAAAATCACCAATCACCATAGTTCACCAAAGGGCCTTTACTATTTAGGATTTGACTCATCCTCTTTTAAAAACAGAAGGGACTGAGAATTCACTTACAACTCACCTGGTAAATTACCCTTGTGCCCCCTTTTCACTTGGCCCATGTTCCTGAAGGGCATTTTTTTTTTCTATTTAGAACAGATGACTTAACATTTAGATCCCATGTTAATTTGAGGACGCAAGGTAGCCCTTTGGGTTTATTTATGAGATAGTAATCATTAGAAATGATTTCTAGCTGGTTTGTATTGGTGTGGCCATATTGGTTGTTTAAGCGAGGTCTGTTTTGATTGGTAGTTCCCCTTGCCGTACCAGTTGTTCATATTTTAAAAATTGCCATACAACAATTCAAAGAAGACTTTAATCTTATTTCCCAAGCAACTGCAGAGCCTAATTTGCCATTCCTATGGTAAACTTGCTTGGAACATGTACAGAGAGAAAGCAGACCATGTGCCCGAAGCAGCAGCCCTTTGTCCCTACAATAGTCAAACGCTCCCTGATATCACAGCCTCACATGGTTAGACTGAGAGGCAATTTTCAGTTAGACTATCTGTACTAGACCCTCCTTTCTTTGCCTTGTTTTTTTTTTAGCAAGAAAATTGGCCTGATACTTCCGTAGCTAGAGATAGGCCAAACTCAAGACATTCATCAAGGAGCTAGGAAGAAAGAACAAAAACAAAAAGGTATAAACAGCCTTTTAAAGGGCCAGCCAAGAGCACGTATGTCATGGTAAGAGATAGTGCTCTGGGTTGAAAGGAGGGCGAGGTTGCATTGACCTATGAGGGACGAGAAGAAACAGAGGAATGTACTGCTTGATGGCGTTGGGAGGTATTTCAATAGGCGATAAGTGACTCGAGGAATGTGGAGTGTGTTTTCCAGGGAGAGGGGGTCTTAATGGACCATAGCTCATTGATAAGAATGTGATTTCAATATATAAACCATTTTTACTACAGTGACAAGTTCACATAGGAGAGCTGAGGAAAACTAGGATGAGATCTCCTGGAAGGGGCTAGAGAATAAACAGTTTTTTGTTTTTTGTTTTTAAATATATTTTATTGATTTCTTACAGAGAGGAAGGGAGAGAGATAGTTAGAAACATTGATCAGAGAGAACCATCGATCAGCTGCCTTCTGCACATCCCCCACAGGGGGTGTGCCCGCAACCCAGGTATATGCCCCTGACTGGAATCGAACCTGGGACCTTTCAGTCTGAAGGCCGACGCTCTATCCACTGAGCCAAACCGGTTTCGGCAGAATAAACAGTTTTAAGGGGCAAGCAAAGATATTGAGATTTGGTTTAAAAAGTCATGGGAAGCCACTAAAAGTTCTAAACAGAGAACGATAAGCACTAGTGCTTTTGTGTTGTCAGGTAGGAAATTCTGAGATGTCAGTTCTTCCTGGAAGTCATCATGAGAGTGTACCCAGGGCTGAACCTGTTCTCAGTGGCGTTGAGTTCTCAGGGTGCATGCCCCAAGTCAAATCTCAACATTATGAAGCTCCTGTCTTCCTCCAATATGTGTTAGGCACCCTGATAGAGACAGCAGCTTAGCTGGCGTTGTAGGACCTCATGTGTGGGCTGGGGGTCAGGACAATGACTATAGTTCTAGAAGAGGTTCTTTGTGAAAGGAACACTGGATTTGGACCTCAAGGAAAGAACCATGTGGAGGAGTGAAGAAATGTGGGATTCGCCCCGAGTGGAAGAAGATGAGAGCTATAAATAAGAGAAGGTCTTATAGGCATAAGGAGTGAGGAGCTGAGGAGAGGATTAGGGAAGGCCCTGGAAATTGGCACATCGGGTCCACAGCAGTGTTGGTAAAGTAGGGACAATGGCTGAATTCTCCAAAAGAGGAAATATGAAAAATCAACTGGCAGGAGACTGTTAGGGGGCCACACCCATGATTTTAGAAGCTAAAAGGAATAACATAAGTAGACACTCCTGGGATAAGGGATCTAGGGCACTCAAGACTCAGGAAATGGGAAACGTGAGAGGGAAACTTTCAGATAGAGAGGGAGAGTCATCAATATGGTTGGAGATGAAGGGTATTGAAGATGGTGATCCAGTAGGAAAAGGACTCTCTTGACAAGGCCAGGAAACTTGTTTGGTTGTCTTTATCCCCAGAGCATTCATGAGGCCTGGCTCAGGGTAGGCAGTTAGCCGCTATGTGCAGCTTTGGGCTCCATGGGCAGTACAAGTCGGATGCCCTTCTAGTTCACTGGCATTCTTTCTGGAGAAGAACTCAAAAGAGAGGGATCTGGAGGTGGGCCTCTTCTTTCACTTCCCCGTTCATGTCACCCCATTGTTTCTCACCCCCCCCAAAAAAATGGTGTCAGGGTTCTTAAACGCATTACTCACTTTGCTTTGGTGGCCTTTCTTCATAGGCAGCATGAAGAAAGAGTTTCTTTCTGACCTGGTGAAACTGACCTTAATTTCTCAGTAGATTTTTAAAAAATTTAAGTTTCCTTTGGTCTATTTAGCCCCTTGAGATGTCTGTGTTTCTTCTCCTCCACCTCGCTTTTCAGCAGAGCAGGGAAGAAAGTGTCACCAAAGCTCGTCAGTGTGTCTGCCTCAGGAAGCGGTTCTGGGCCCACTGCTTAGGATCTTAGCAGTGCAGACGTGGCCCCGGCACGGGCCCGCCAGAGGCAACCAGACTGTCCTCACGTGGGACTCGGGCTCAGTGTGAGAAAGCAGCCAGCAAGTAAGGGAGCCCCGCCAGCAAGGTGATGGCCCCTCACTTCCGCCCTGATCCCCCGGTGGCCCCAGGGAGGCCTGCTCCCCTCCCCTCCTACGGCTGAGTACAGGCTGAGACACGTTTGATGAGAACTGCAGTATTTCAAACATAAACCGAGATCTGCCTGAAGATCCTAATTAAAAATGTCCCATTTCGAGGCAGCAGGATCATCCCTGCCTAAAACTTCTGGCCCATTGGCCACCACTCCACACCCACAGTAAAGAAATTTCCCACTTCACACCCAAACCTGCACCCAACATTTCTTCAGGGGACTAAGGGAAAACGGTACACTTACCCCGAGGTCAGCCGACATGTTCATTAAGGAAAAGGAGCGTGGCTTATTCATCTGTGTTTCAAACTTTCGCTGGTTGGCATTATGGTTGTGATGATAAAGTAATGGCTGTGACAGGGCGGGAACGGGGGGAAGGATGAATGCTGGTGCTCTGAAATGATCTACCCAACCGTCATCTGTAACAACCAGTGATCACTCTCTTGTCTTGTAAAAAGGGTTTGTACATAACTTGTACATGGTTTCATTTTGTATTTTTCGCAGATTAAAAATTTATGTATTTGTGTTCTAAAAGGAGCGTTTCTTGTGTCTCTGTAGCACCCACATGGCCGCGGGGGATGGGGGGCGAGGGGTGAGAGTGACAAAGTCCCTGAGTTCCGCGCAGGTTGCTATGTTCTCTAGGATAAAGGCAAAGTTGGGGACTCATAGGATTTGTGGGCTTGCCTTTCCAGCATTGATTGCAAGCAGTCCCCCACCTCTCCAAGGACTCTGTCAGAGGTGCCAACCCAGGACTGGAGTGGGCAGTGGGGAGAAAAGAGCTAGTCATTAGTGGTGATGCCTGGGATTCCCTACAGAGTGGGCACCACAGGCTCCTGCAGACCCTCCAGCATTCGGGCCTCTAGAGAAATGAGCAGCTTTTGGGTAGGCTCTTGAAGAGCTAGAAGATTTCTCTCCTCAGCCACCTCTCTCCAAGCTACTTACCCTTTCCTGACATCTGCACAGTGACATCCTTCCCCCGCATTTAGCTCATGCAAACCCAGGACACCCTGTGAAAGGTTGACTCCTCCTGCCCCACGCTCATCCCCAACAGAGCGATGGACAAACTTCATCTCAAAATGGGGCCTCTTAAATGACCGCTGCCAGTTCAGGGCCATGATTTAAATCATATGCAGAATCCTCTGAATCTGAACTCTTTCAGGGAGGCTGGCTCCCCAGGTTAAGGCTGGTTTATCCTGAAGGAAGGGAGAAAAGCCTTCCAAGTTCTTTGCAGGCGATGCTTATAATGTAGTAACACCATGTATTCTAGAGATTCTCATTTGTTCATCAGCCAAGTATTCACTGAACAGCTATTGCGTTTACATTTCTCTCCCGGGAGCCAGGAACACATAGTGAACAAGATCGTGATCGCAGTCTCCGGTCTGGGGAGGAATGGAACCAACAAATAAACGGGTTATTGTCATGTATTAAAAATTGATCTATGGGGTGAGTACAGTACACCATTGGGAACACATAAGACAGGCACTTAGCCATTTGAAGAACAATCTACCAATTGATTGATACTTTCAAAAACAAACCCCTGTTCTACCTAAGCCAATACCAGCCCAAACCAGAACTCATTCATTCACAGGGGTCAGCAAAAGCAGGCTTACCTGTCCGAATGTGCCAATTCCTGACAGTCTTTGCACTCTGGTCTCTCAACTTGCCTTTTCCAATATTTGCTAACAAATCTGAATGTTGTTGGGGGAATGTAATTGCAGAGCATATGGTCCCCATTAGTTAGGCAAACTCCACTGCCAAATCCGGCTCCAAGGAAGGAGTCTGCATAAAGGATGAAGTATTAGGAAAAGATCGACAGTGACAGAGAAAGCAAATAAAAGAGATGAGACAGTGAGTTACAAAATAGCAGGCGCGGCATCTGCAGCACAATGAATGTGGAACATATTTTTCTATTTGTTGAGAAAACAATATATGTGAATTTGTGCTAAAAATCTCCCTGTAGC